ATCTGAACGCCTCTGATTGGCTACTGCATTCCTAAGCTCAACAGAATTGTGTGTGATTGGTTATAATGAGCGACGCTGTAAAAACGCGTAAAAATAAAATATGATGTAACATAAGCAGAAATTAATCTCTTTCTTACATCGTACGTACATCTGCACTTTGTTGTTTATAATGAAGGAATTCGCGAGTTTCAGTCTGAACAAAACTTTGGGGTTTCAGCGATGTCTAATCTGAACGCCTCTGATTGGCTACTGCATTCCTAAGCTCAACAGAATTGTGTGTGATTGGTTATAATGAGCGACGCTGTAAAAACGCGTAAAAATAAAATATGATGTAACATAAGCAGGTCTAAATTTAATACAGCAATCGAAACTTCATTTTAAGTATTAAAAGTTTTATTGAAAAACCAGTATATATTTTTGGGTGTTATGGGGGTTCCTTAATGCTTATGGGAGGTCCCCCCCAGCCCCCCCTCAATTCGAACACTGCATAAAAGACACAAGTAGATGACTCATGCATGCATGATGACCAAGCGGCAACCCGGTCTCTCCCTTGAAACCAACACGGAAGTGACTAAAACTGCAATTCATCGACTGATCATATTAAGCCTTAACGTTCTGCATAATTAAGGGCATGGCCACTTGAGTGACAGGTAGACTGCCGCTCTGCTCCAGAGTGTGAAACTCGCTAGACTGTGAAACTTAGAAAAATGGCTTTAAAGATTTTTATTTGTCCAGAAAAATTAATTATGGGTAGGACACTGGAAATCTGGCAATTAGATGTTTTAATGAAAATGATCTCAAACTTGATTTTTACCGCTATTTTGAAGTTATTGTAGGTACTCTGCCTTTGCACTGTCTGCAAAAAGTGAGATGTCACGCCAAGGCAAAAGGCAGTAGCTTCCACATTATATACAATATTTGGGTGCTGATCACCATTTACAGAGTCATTAACATCTGACTGTATAAAATCTAGTGATCATTGGCTAGGCTATAACATATAGCAATGTAATTCAAATTTTTTTCTGACCATAACAACCAGACAAAAAGTTAAACGTGAGTGATACCGTTTTGCAACTAATTTATTTGCAATGTTCGCTAACATTAAAGGATGCAAGGCATACAGCCTATTGTTTTTACATCGAACTGAATGAAAATAGCTTACCCTATAAGAACAACTTGTGGATTGATGTGAACACCAGCAGGAATAATGCTCAGAATGATTGTGAATTAAACATCTCCGATGACGTTCATTGCAATGTTTTTTATCGAGTTACAATAAAAGGTATGAAATGGATTTAATTGTGAACAGTTACTGATTTTATGTGATACGCTCTCATGGCATTCGACTCCCCACACGTGCAGAAGTGGGCAGCTCCAGTCTGACAGCTAGCATCTGCATTATAAAAAGAAAAAAAAAACTTTAAAGATTACTTACGATTAATTATTGTTGCAAAGTTATCTAGTCGTTGCTTGTTTACAGTGCTTTGTTATATGGAGCAGTTTGTTAGATCGCGATCTATCTAATTTGTTTGTCTAAAAAGAATTGCAGACAGATGTATGAAAGTACACAATTACACCTTAATTTAAACGCGGCAGACTTTAATGTACAGTAAAACAAAGGCAGAATACCGTATAACTCCAGGCTGGCACAGTAATATTGAGGAACGGCTAAACAAATGCAGAGCAGCGTAACTTAATTTGAGCATTCTAAAACAAAGTCAAAGAGCGGTAACTGATGTTATACTGTGTTTTGCCTTGGTTTCTCCTGGGCTTTTCTCCAAGATACTTATACACATGATAAAGGAGGTCATATATGTCCCAAAATTATCAATAACTCATTTCGACCAAAAACGAAGTTATGTTGTTTTGTCTTTGTACGGCAGCACTGCTGTCACCATAGACGGGCGTGGTTTCAGCAACTACTCCAAGATACTTATACACATGATAAAGGAGGTCATATATGTCCCAAAATTATCAATAACTAATTTCGACCAAAAACGAAGCTATGGTGTTTTGTCTTTGCACGGCAGCACTGCTGTCACTATAGATGGGCATGGTTTCAGCAACCAGCTTCACCCACGTCCCACCTTTTTGCCCATTTTCGATTATCCGGGAGTGACGCGCTGCCAAGATGGCGGCGGTCGGATCCGCCCACTTTAGGCTTCAAAAATGCTCTTCTGAAACCTACGAGTGACGTCACGGACACTACGTCCATGTTTTTTTACAGTCTATGATGATGACTCATGTTTTTATTCAACATGCCAAATTACTTCTAAAAAACATGTAAATATATATAATACCGTACAAAGCTAAAACCATCCAACAGAATAACAGTGAACAAAATAATTTAATATTATAAAAATATTGCACAACAATACAGCAGGAGACAATTCTTAAACATTATTATGATTTCATACCAGACAGGCTCAAATGTTTATGTTGCATACTATAGACTATGTGCTATTGTTCTGTGTCTATATTACATTCTTTTGTCCTTTTAATAAAGTAAAATCAGTCAGTCACACTGAATAAAATCAGATGGCCATTATCGTAAAATTATCGTTGAAATTACTATCGTAACACAAATGGCATCCACCAAGTAAATGGTAAGGCTTTATAAGTTTTTCATGTATTATCTTGAATATAATATAGGCTCATGCAGACTCACTTTTTATGTTTCATCTTGCACAGAAGCTGAAAGAAAAAAATCTTCATCTTGTCATGTCCAAAATTAAGCCTGAAATTAAAATGTTGATTAATTCATATTACTCCATAAAACACTGTTACTTACATGGAGTAAGGGAATAATCACTCTTTGACGTATCAGATCCTCGTCCTGAATAAGAATGAATTCATATAAGGTAAACTCTGAAAGAGTGTCTCTACAGAAACTGAAGTTTGGTTTCTTTTTTTTTCTAATTGAGTTTACAGAACATTTACCAGCAGCACATCTCCTTCTCCATATGTGCAGCTGTGATGAAAACAGCTGCACACATGAACACCAGCACACTGAAAACTGCAGACTGACTGAAGCAGGGGTGTCCAAACTTTTCCTAAATAGGGGCCGGATTCGACGATGTGGAAACACTGGGGGTCCGGATGCTTCTACCTATATATATATATATATATATATATATATATATGTATGTATGTATGGTGTTGAGTTGACAGTAGCAGTATGAGTTCTGTTGAGGACAAAAATCTGTAAATATCTTGTTTTTAAAGCTTTAATAATTATAACATAGAATGGCTTTATGGTATTTAGTCTATTAACACATAAAAGCACAAATTAAATTTCAAGCATGTCTGTAATTTGGCCTATATTTCATAACTCCCTTCCATTACATTAAATTGGCCTATATGTCTACATTAATAATATAAGAAGATTCTGTATAAATATGCAACATTTGATCCCCAATACCACAGTTACTGTTACTACAGTAAATCAAAATGTTGGTGATTTGTGGATTGAAAAGTATTCTTACTGCATTGTTGTCGCACAATGTTTCTCCTATTTTCCGCGCTAGTGTTGTTGAGAATGTCAGCACTGTTTCATCTGCCTTTGACATCTGCGGTTTGTATGGAAACCTCTGCTGCAAACTCAAACGCTTCTCACAGCGCTGTTTAGTGGTCTCGTGATCGAGATCAGTCAGCGAGTAAACGCATTTGTTCTGAGCTCGCGCTGCGCTGTCTTTAGGCAGAGCTAAAAACGGTCCGTGCAGCGCGGTTCAAACGAGTCGCGCTCTTCCGCTTTTGACGCGTTTAGGAATTGGCGTGCACTAAAGAAATGAGAGCGCATATGAGTTATCAAATTGTTATCATTCGCGTTTTACTGCTACAGCTGGTCCAAAATTTAGTGTTGCCATCTTGTGTTGACATTGTGAAACTGCATAGGCCTATTTTGTAAATTATGCTTGGCGGGCCATATATAATATAGACAATTTACGAGAGCTGCGGGCCGCTTAAAATTAATCCACGGGCCGTAGTTTGGACACCCCTGGACTGAAGGATCCTGGGTCACATTCAGCCACATCTGAAATTGGGGTGAAGCAATTAAAAGTAAATAAATAAATAAATCAGTAAAGCTACAGACAGATAAAGTTAGTTTTGTTGTTGTTGTTATTAAACATAATGTTGAATTTGATTTCCAAAGGGGAATTTTACTTAATTGCTAGTTTTTCTTTACCAGATGTAATGTCCAGTTTGTTGTCCAGACTGAGGTGCTTCATTGTGCAGTTGTTATGTTCCTCACGTAGCTCTTTTCTTCACTGATCACCAAACTCTTCCTCATCTGGTAAGTTCCGTCTCCGTTGGGCAGAATCTCTCCTGTGATCTGATCATCATCCACAGACTGACCATCTCTGAACAGGGTCAGGTTAATGTGACAGGGGTAAAAGATCTGAAGCCCTTGAGAGTCTGTGAGTGTCTTCTTCATGAGTCTGACTCTGGGTTTCACTAAAGAGAAGGACGAAAAGTGTTACTGTAATTAAACTGTACGGTTCATTGCATCAGTCATTCATTTATGCTAATCATGAATCATAAAGCACTCAAATGAAAATGGTATTTTCTATCAGCACTGCTGTCTGGGTCATATATTAATTTTTTTTTAACTGAGGTTAATCAGGTGGATTCTCTTACCTTTTCTCATTACACTCTTTCCTCCGCAAAACTTTAATGCAAATAGGATGGTAAACATTTTCAAACATAAATTTTACTTTTAGCCGTTTTACTTCCCATGTTATCATCCATGGCATTTTCATCTGGATATCATGTCAAAAGTGAACTCCTCCATATTTTGTCCACTGAAAGCATCGCTGAAATGAACTGGACCTGGTTTATCATAGTTCAACAATTCACATCCAGCAAGTCTCTGTTGAACATGTACACCTTCAAATGAATAAAAAATAAATTTCATGAAGACTTATTATTCTTTACTGACATAGTACAATATAAGAGGATTACTTTCTCTAGTACATATAGTTTTCTTGCTTCTACATCAAAAGCTTTTAAGGTAATAACAAACACATAAAAGCTGCATGTATTATTAAATGCTTTGTTTGTTAATACTGATATGTTGACTAATAGCTCTCACCATTTGTATGATTTAGGTGTACCTTAAGATAATCTGCTTGATCTTTCATGCTATTATACATTTCACGGAATACAACACCAGCATCACTTTGCTCTTCATCATAGTATTTTGAATCACTGTGAGTGTGATGTAAAACACTCCATGTGACCGAGTCATAATATAATATCTGCATATCATCCAGCATCACTACAACACTGAACTCAGGAAATGGTGTTTGTCCAGCTTTATATGTTGCCAAAGTCATCAGTGAGTGAGAACCTGTGGATACACTTGGACACGTATATAATATTTGTACAGTTTCAAATATGATGATGTATACATCTCAATTTTGAAAAATTGACACTTAAGACTGGTTTTGTGGTCCAGGGTCACATATGACAATGCATTCATATACATAAAGAGAATATTCATCTACAGAGAGAGAAACACTGAGGTCAGGTTTATGTGTTTCACAATGCTCGTTATAAACATTATCTGTCAACTCGGCTACATCCAAAAGCTGAAAAATGCTGCTTCTGCAGAAGGTGACAAGGCACGTCCAAATCCAGTGATCGTGTCACATCCTGTCCACTGAGATACCTTCATCTGATTGCTTTTTGAATTAGTACTCAATTACATTTGAACCTCCCACAAAGGGCTTCAGAAGACGTCCAATCCCCAGTACAAGATGAATGGAGCTTGGAAGCGCCCATTCTGTTTACTTTGGTGGTATGGATACTAACAACTTGAACGTCTCCTTTTGTGTTCCACAAAAGAAAAAGAAAAAGTCCTATGGGACTGAAACAACATGTGGGTGAGTAATGATGGCAGACTGTTAAACTAAGTATGTCTTCTAAATTACATATACATTGAGTCAATTAAGCCTAAGCCTAACATTTGAAGGTAAATATGGTAAGACATAATATGCTTTAGTAGTTTGTCATGTATTTTTTTGGCTGCTTCAGTACTTATTTTGAAAATTTTCAATCATATGAATTGATTTTGACAACGTTTGATCTAATTTAATTTAGCCGCTGTTTTGGTATTTTCACCAATTTTTTAATGGAAACATGATCTGTCATTTCAATATCAATTCTGATTGGTTGGTTGGCCTCCTCATTTGATCAATGATCAAAACTCATGTTAGCAGCCTCTATGAAAGTAAATTAAAAATAAGTTTAAAAAAATACAGTAATATTAAATGTTTTACATTATATGCATCTGAGTTACGCAAATGATTCAAAATGAATGAATGATGATAAAATGATTAAAACAACTGTTAACAATCACTTTCACATTAAAAATGTCTTAGTATGAAAATTCATTCTGTCTGACTTTTGAAAAAACATTTCTTATTTCATTGATATAACGTACTTTAATAATTAAGAAAAACAATTTGATAAATGGGGTCTAGACATATTACAAGATGTTACTGTTTATCAATATTGAACATTTGAGCATTTGCATTGCTACTTCCAGTGTTTACACAACTGCTGCCTTCTTTTTTTGAAATACCATTAAGAGGTTTAAAATGACATACCTGCTGTGGCGACTGCCAAACATGACCACACATACATAAGAAAGAACATTGCTCTCTCTTCTTGCAGATCTCAGTACTATGTTTCATCCTGAAGCAAGCCGGAGAACAACTTCAGTTGAAGTTTGACCTCATTTACTGGTTTGCAGTTTACTCAGTTTTGGTAAGCAGTTACTCGTACTTAAAGGGATAGTCCATCCAATAAGTAAAATTCTCTTATTATTTACTCATCATTCATGCATGTTCAGAATAAGATGAGAAGTCAAACTCACAGACAATTACTTCAGAGCTGCTTTAAAGGTATGCTTTAAAATATGATGCAATTTCAATTGTTCCTTTCTCTTTGAAGTGTTACAAGCTCTTGGTGCATAAAGAAGATCTGTAAAGTTGCAAAGACTAAAGTCTCAAATCCAAAGAGATATTCTCTATAAAAGTTAAGAGTCAACCACGCCTACCTAAAACACCTCGTTCTAACACGCCCCCATATGTCTACGTCACGATGTGGGAAGATATGCATAATGCCGCCCAAATGTTCACGCAAAGAAAGAAGGCGTAACTTTTATACTCGCTGTAGTATTGTTGCTGCCGCCGCCGCTGCCATGTCGTGAAGGCGCTGTGTTTCGTTGTGTAAGCGAAACTACTTTGTTTGGTCTTCCAAAAGAGGACACGACTAGAAATCAGTGGTTTAAGTTGTATTTACAAAACCATTCCAGAACAGTTTAACCCAATATTCAGATGTGTGCAGCGCATTTTATGGAGGACTGTTTCCTGAACCGGGGAGAGTAGCCTACAATGCCGGCCGTGCACTTAACCTTAAACCGCATAAACACAATTCATTACACCAAATACACAAAATAATGTTCTTTTTAGCAGCATCATATGACCCCTTTAAGTTTTGCATGTATTTTCTTGACCAAATAGACTCAATTTTCATGTTTCATCTTGCATGGAAGCTGAAATAAAGCAAATAATCTTTTGGTTATCATTTATAGAATGCGCAAAATTAACCTTAAAATGATGTTGCATCAATGACGTCATAAAACACAGCATACTCACATGAAGTAGAGAAGTATTTACACTGTGACGCCTCAGAGTTTCGTCCTGCATAAGAATGAGGAAGTTAAACCAGTATAAATAGAGAGTAACACCAACATGAAACTGAATATGGTGTTTGAAAAAGTGCATTAGATGTAATTAACTGAACTTAACAGAACATTTACCAGCAGCTTGTCTCTTCCTCCATATGATGAGTGCAGTTATGATGGGAACAACCACACACATGAACACCAGCACACTGAAAACTACAGACTGACTGAAGGATCCTGGGTCAGCCACATCTGAAATTGGGGTGAATTATAAATAAATAAACAAGATGCACACAGATACAGTTTTGTTAGTACATTTGCAATTTTTTACCAAATGTAATGTCCAGTTTGTTGTCCAGACTGAGGTGCTTTATTGTGCAGTTGTATTTATGTTCCTCACGTAGCTCTTCTTCACTGATCACCAAACTCTTCCTCATCTGGTAAGTTCCGTCTCCGTTGGGCAGAATCTCTCCTCCTGTGATCTGATCATCATCCACAGGCTGACCATCTCTGAACAGGGTCAGGTTAATGTGACGGGGGTAAAAACCAGTGGCCAGACAGCTGATCTGAAGCCCTTGAGAGTCTGTGAGTGTCTTCTTCATGAGTCTGACTCTGGGCTTCACTACAGAGAAGGATATAGAAAAATACACAGTCTTACTGTCACACCAAGCCACACTAGAGCTTTGTGTATAAAGATCAGCGTGGTACTCTCACCTTTTCTCATCACATTGTTCTTTTTCATTTGCAGGTAACTCTGCAAAACTTTAATGCAAACAGGATGATATACGGTTTTATATAAAAATTTCATATGAGCAAACTGTAAATTGTCCCACATTATCCATGGCAATTCAATTTGGAAATTATTTTTCTCTTCGTTGAAAATGAACTCCTCTTTATTTTTTTGATCAAAAGCATCCCATGTCTGAAGTGGACCTGGTTTATCATCATTCAGTAATTCACATCCAGCAAGTCTCTGGTGAACATGTACACCTTTCAAAGGATGAAAGCACAGCCCACAACACTTAGATTTCTATACTCCGTTTTCTTTTTTCTTTTTCTTTTTTGGACTTGTGCTAATAGGATACAGTTAGTACTGGTATTAGTAAACGTGATTTACATTACCATCAAAATTTATGCACGTTAATGTTCTCACCGTCTGTGTGATTTAGGTGCTCCTTAAGATAAAATGCTCGACCTTTCATGTCGTTGTACATATCACGAAATATGACACCAGCATCACTTTTCTCTTCATCGTAGTGTTTTGAATCATCATAAGAGCGATGGACAGCTTGCCGTGTGATCGAGTCATAGTACATTATTTGAAGATCATCCAGCATCACTACGGCACTGAACTCTGGAAATGGTGTCTGTCCGATTATATATGTTGCGAACGCCATCAGTGAGTGAGAACCTTTGGAAAGTAGTAATACAGGTATAGTATAGGTGTCATATGAGACATTTCGTGATAAACGAGAATTCACTCGGCAAACTCTATGCTTTCGCTTTTACGTAATTTCACTTTCGAGGAGGCTTTTTCATGAGTAAAAAGGCAAAATTAAAAGAGATGATTTAAACACATCTTACGGCTATATTGTTGCAAAAGCTGCACTATATTGTGATTAAATGCTTCTAAACGTTTTCTACTTTTAGTTGTTCACACAGCCTATAGTATCTACGGCGAATGGTTAAAAGCACATCTGTAGAAGCAAAGAACATCTGTAATCTTACTTACCTGCTCTAACCGCTGATAAATATGACAGTAGATATACATAAACGAGCATTATTGTCTGTGTACAGTAGTGTGTTTTCTCGAGCCTCTTCGAACAACTAAGACCCCCTTTTCTGAGCTTTATAACGCCTGTCTGGACTTCCCCTGTTGACCGCTGGGGGCACAAAGGCTACTGTTAACTCATCAGTTCTATTCATGCTGAGATTTAGGTCTCATGTATTTTTGTCACAATCTTTAACACTCGGTGCAAATAGCAATTGTCAAACCTCATCTAAATTATTACTGCATTTTATTTTCATTGTTCTCACTTGTGTCATGTTTGCAGTTCCCACTAATAGCCGTAGTCTATTCATTTTTAACCATTGTTCCAAAGTTGTGCAAGTTCATGACTGAAGTTCCAAGTCTTGTTTATTTTAAACTTGACATTTTCTGATTTGTCAGATGAGTCCATACATAGCCTACAGATTTGGTTATTCTGATCAAATATCAAAGAAAAGTAGAAAAGGCAGCACATTGAAAAAAAAAGTACAATATGAATAGTAGCATACATATGCATAAATAGTAAAACATACAAAAGTACATGACACATTCTGACGGTAAAAAATGAAAAGCATGAAACAGTTTTTTTGTCATTCACATATACAGTTTCCTAGCTAGTCAAACAACACTATTTATTGTAGCAACATGCATCACACGCATAATAACTGGACACGTGTTTATAGAAATGATGAGAAGACACAAAAATAATGTGGGAAGTGAATCTGACTCGACAGTGCATAATTTGAATTAATATTATAGGCTTGCCACAGTGAATTGGGATAAGGCATGAAGATGAATTTGGACACTTGTTTTTATGTACTTGCTCAATTTTCTTAATAAAAAAAAATCACATTAAGGGTCTGTATTTGAAATTCACTCATGAGCAGTGTTGGGGAAAGTTACTTTTAAAAGTAATGCATTACAATATTGCGTTACTCCATAAAAAAGTATACCAATAGCAGCTATGAATCAACATGGGGCAGTAGCTCTAGCTTACATTATATATTTAATAGATATTATGATAGTTTTTACGTTAATGCGTTATTATTTATTACGTTAATCACTGAACACATGCAGACACACTTTTGGAAGAGGTCTATTGTCCTTGTGTAATTCAGCCTGAGGGTGGCACTGTAATGTTGACTGACAGGCTATTAATCCATGTGTTTGAATGTTGACTTGAAATGTTAGGAATTCGAGAGAGGAAAATGAAGCCATGTCAAGTCAACAAACACAAAACAAACACAACAGAATGGTTTACAGGCTATTCATACGAGCACATTTAAACGAAAGGATTTACACTTTCACTAAATTGGTACGCTACTCCACACAGCCCCCTACCCACTGTTAAAGAAAAACTGGTTTACTAGTTGCTAAACTGATGCAGACTAAACTAAAGTCAAATGTGAGATTTTAATATATCCATCTCACTAGAAAGTTGGAAAGATATTGGTTGCAAAATGCTACTGAAATACATTTACGAGTTAGATGTAGGATTGATTATGCTTATATAAAAGGTCTATGTTTTCAAGTGGATTAATGTTTTGCCCATGCATAACCCCACAACAGTATCAGAAATGTCCAGCCATGACACTTTGTAGCTCCAAAACATGACTTAAAACTGATCAGGAGCTGTAACTTTAACACAATTAAGGCGCCATCCCGTGACCACCACTTTTTACAGTGTCAGGTTTTTCTTCAGTATGGATTTGTTGCTTTCGTTTCAAGTAGGTTGCTTTGGAAATAGGTTTACGGACATGAAATCTCTTGTGCGATCTTAAATTGCACAGCCATTTAAATCTCTTTTTACACAAAGAACACAAATAGGGTCTCTTGTCTGCGTGACTTTTCAGGTGTATCTCTAAGTGTGATGGCAAAATAAATTTTTTATTACATTGATCACAATTAAACGGCCTTAGTCTCGAGTGAATGCGCAGATGATTTTTGAAATTGCTGGTTTTTGCAAACTTCTTGCCACATTCAGAACACTGGGATTTCTCTCCAAAATGAGTTTGCAAATGACTTTTCAGCTGTCTTAGATAGGCGAAACTCTTCTCACACTGAACACACATGTAAGGCCGGTCTCCAGTGTGAAGCCTCATGTGAGCCGTAAGGTTTCCTTTAAGTGCGAAACTTTTACCACAAGGACAGGAGAACGGCTTTTCTCCAGTGTGAATTCGCATGTGAATCTGAAGTTTAGATTTGCTTTCGCAAATCCTTCCACAGTGATGGCACGTAAAAGGCTTCTCATTGGTGTGAACACTTCTCACGTGACCATTAAGAAGTCCTTTATATCTGAAACTCATTCCACACTGATGGCAGCTGAAGGGCTTTTCTCCAGTGTGAAGCCTCATGTGATAATTAAGGAGACCTTTATGTATGAAACTCTTTCCACACTGAGGGCAAGAGAAAGGCTTTTCTCCAGTGTGAACTTGAATGTGAATCTTAAGGTTTGATTTGCTTTCACAAATCCTTCCACAGTAATGGCACACGAAAGGCTTCTCCTCGGTGTGAATGTATCTTATGTGGCGACTAAGTTGTCCTTCAAGAATGAAACTCTTTCCACACTGAAGGCAGGTGAAAGGCCTTTCTCCAGTGTGAAGTCTCATGTGGTAATTAAGGGATGTTTCGTGTTTTAGACACTTTCCACATTGATGGCACTTGAAAGGCTTTTCCTCGATGTGACATCTCATATGTGCCTTTAGGTTGTTTTTGATTTGGAACCCCTTTCCACATTGCTGGCACTTGAAGGGCTTCTCTCCAGAGTGAATTATCACATGCCTGTTAAGGCGTTCTATGTCTTTGAAACTTTTTCCACACTGATGGCAAATAAAATGGCTCTCTCTTAAGTGAATTCTCTTGTGTAAATTAAGGGTTACTTTATGTATGAAACTCTTTCCACACTGATCGCATTTGAAAGGTCTTTCTCCAGTGTGAATCCTCATGTGATCCTTTAAGGTTTTGCTTCGTATGTAACTCTTTCCACACTGATCACACTTAAAAGGCCTTTCTCCGGTGTGAATCCTTATGTGATCCTTTAAGGTCTTGCTTCGAGTGTAACTCTTTCCACACTGATTACATGTGAAAGGCTTCTCTCCGGTGTGAATTCTCATGTGGTTTTTAAGGCTTCCGTTCGTAGTGAAAATGTTCCCACACTGTTGGCAGGTGAAAGGGCACTGTACATTGTGCATTAACTCATGTTTTTTAAGGCTTTTCTCATAAGTGAAATTCCTGCCACATTGAGGGCAGATGTAACAGTTTTTAAAACTTTTCTTTCGAGATTTTTTTTGAGAGGGCTCCTTTTCAGTCTGCGAGCACATTTTTTCTCCGTGATGTTTATCGTATGGATCTTCCTCCTCCATTTCATACAGTTCTTGACTTTCCACTTTCATCACCACCAGGTCTAAGGTGGAAAAAAGAAAAAGACAAGTTAACACAGTTAAATGGCACAAAGTAACTGACATCAAACTGCTAGATTTATTCAATGTACTAAAGGCTAATTCTTCCATTGTCATATTAATCTAGATACCTGCAACAGTTATTTTATGATCATTTAGATCACTGATGAAATGATTTTTGGATTATAAATGCATTGCTATTACTTGTAAGCATAATGTGCTATTATAAGATCAAATAACCCTTTTTTATTATAAAGCTAAAGTGGTCTAAAGCATGTAAATCAGTGTTGGGGAGTAACTAGTTACATGTAACGGAATTACGTAATTTAATTACAAAATAAATGTAACTGAAATCTGTTACAGTTACTGAGAAAAAAAAAGTGTAATTAAATTACAGTTACTTATGAAAATGTTAACGATTACAAAGGGGGATACATCTGATTTTTTTCACTCGCAAACACCCACATACAGATTTAATTGACTTCTTTCATAAATTGCATTGACTGCTCTAAAATATGACACACCAATGTTTCAGGATTTTAGGACACATGCTTATTCAATAACTGTTTTATTTCCTATTTGGGCTTATGCATATGCTTTATTTTTTAAGATTAACTGGGTTTTTTTTCCAAAGCATTGTTAAATGTAAGTGTTTCCTTTCATAGCTATGCAAATTGCAAAGATTTGATTTCAAAAACAGTATCATAGCTATTAAACTATTTTCTTGTGATTTTAAATCTGTATTTAACCTCAGAGCGATCTCAAAGTAAAAAGAGGTGCTAAAGTCTGATTTTGCGGTGGCTGTGCTTTCAATTCAATTATTATACTCTTAATTCAAGTGATGAAGGATTTTGAAAGTCTGACAGTAATCAGTGTTGAGTCCTAAGGTTAACCCTGCCTGCTTTAAATGTTTGAAAATGATTAACAGTTGAAAACATTAGACATTTAGAAAAGTAATCAAATGTAATCAGTTACATTAATAAAGTAATTGAAATAGTTACACTACTTATTACATTTTAAATAGGGTAACTTGTAATCTGTAACCTATTACATTTCCAAAGTAACCTTCCCAACACTGATGTAAATTTACATATCTCTTGTACATCATGTATGTAAACCCATATTCCAATGTCTGTGGTGAATGATATGAATCACTCATTGATATTCATTGAGCAGTCTGATTTCAAAGCTGTATTTAGTTGATGACAAACCAGTTTGACTTGTAAGGCATAAGAGTTAATTCTGCTCAGACAAGTGCAATATGACAACACATTACCTAAGCTATGCACTTTTAAGAAAAAAAAATGTTCTAAAGGGCACCAGATTAAGGTTCTGCATCTTGCAGCAATACCTGTCATGAAAACACTTGTTATAAGGTTATATTCCTTTTAAATAATAGTTTAGCTTTATTAATATTCGTTTTTATTTATTAATATTGAGTTTTTTTACCCCTCTATCTGCCTGGTCTAAGGCCGTTTATACATTGCATCCTCTTATATATAAAAAAAATAAAATAAAAAAAAAAGACAGCAAGTTATGTCAATTATGTTTTTTTATTGACAGGAAATTATAGCAAAAATGACAATGCTCTAAAAAGTCATTACAAGAAAGCATAAAAATTACACTTGACATTTGAATGTAAATTAAGAATATGTAAATAAGTAAATGAAATACAATAGAACAGATAGACACACAAATACAAATAGAAACAAAGGCTAAGTTCCAATTAAATATTTTTCCAGTTGCCTGTGATGTCTTCACATCCATCATTATGTGCATTTTTGTAAAAATGAGTGGCAGTTGATCTTTGCAGATGATGAGTATGTGGGGTGTGACAGCATCTGTCTGGGTAGAAATACACAGTTGACTTTAGAATCACTCTCTTCTAGTTGTAACAGAAAGTAAAAGAAATTATGTCTAATTATGTCTCACAAACAATATGGACCATAAATTCTGTATCTCTCACTTACCTGCTTAGTGGAGAATAGGAGAGAAGTATCATCAACTGAACAGAGCATGACACACTTACATGTGCTGTTAAAAAACTAAGAAAAAAAGGACAGCATGATGAAACAAGTTACAATTTGAAAATGAACATTTAAAGATATTTTGAAAAGGATATCAAGTACCTGCTCAGAGTATGTTGACAGTCGTGTTTAGCTGGATGGCTGAACTCCAGAAAATCGATAATGAGGTGGCTTTGAAATAATTTGTTTTGACAGTTACAGATTTTGTTTTTCTAAACACAATTAACCATTTCAGCATAAAATGGTTCTCCAAGACGATATGTTTCTAAATAGAACTATTACTATTTGTAAAGAACCTTTACAGAACTATCTTTTTTAAGAGTATTAACATAATACATTATATGGTAATTTTCCTGTCACCCCTCATGTTAGAAATTCCCCTAAAGAAAACAAAAGTTCAGCCAGCTGTGTACAGTAGACACAACCTGTAACATTAGTAACTTATTTAGTAACTTATCTTTACATGTAGCTACACAAATAAAGCTGAAGTACATTAAACTGTGTTATGTTAAATATATATTTGGCATTATGACCATTTAAATGATTGTAACATTTTTTCAAATTTATCATTAATTTGTTTAAAGGCCAACATTTTAAAAAACAAATGACAAATAAACCAGTAACTAATAAACCAACCTGTGTCATCCTCTGCATCTTCATTTTTCACGAATGTTTCTGAAATGCTCACGTCTTCAATCTCCTCTTTAATAAATGCCATCTTGATAATAGTGTCACATGGATTTAAGATGTTCTCAGTTTCTTGTTCCTGTATGTTTGGACATCTTGTCTTGTTTAATATGAGGAAAACAATTAACAGAAAGAAATCCAAATCCGAATCTAATATGTTATTTACATATGAATGAATGCGCTTTACTCAAACAAATAACACTAAATATTGGGCCATTTACGAGACAAACTGTCAGGGTTCGTGTAACGCCGTAGTTCAGTTTTCAGACACAAAAATAGAATAATAAAAAGGCTGTAATGTAATTAAATAATTTCTGATGTCAAGATTTTGAAGATTAAAATTGAATGACAGGAGAGAACACGGTATTTGCCTATTAACTGAAAACGCAACTGTAAAGCGTTACACGGCACCTCACATAATCCATTCATTTCACATTACTTGTAAAATCCACACATCGATTGATCGATTCGTATCGATTTCAACACCTCAAACGCTTAAGCGTGATAAAACTCAAACCTTTGTTGAGCCAGAGGAGAGCGGTCCAGCCATGTGATGTCAGCGACAGATCAAAATAAAAGTCCCGTTCACACGCTGCCTAAAATCATAGACAGTGCATGAAAATGTATACATTAAAAAAACAAAACAATTAAATGTCGAATAAATTTAGAGTAAAATTCAAAGTGTATGCTTGGTAAAATACATATTTAAAACATGTTGTCCACTAATGTGCTGAAAAATAAAAAACTACCAATAAAAGAGTGAGTAGCCTACAGCATCTGAAATGCAAGATTCTGTCTAACTGCAAAAAAAAAAATACTGATGTTTAGATTCAGAAACCATGCAGTTACAGAAACTTTATTTATCAATAAATTATCTTCATGCTGCGATTCAGGTTTGGTCTAAACTTAAAGGCAATAGAACACACATTTTTATAGCCTATCACAACATTGAATGTCCAATTTTTTTTTTTCTCATTCATGCCATGTTTGCAGTTCCACTAATCAGTATTCCAGTTTATGGTTAAAAAAAAGTTTATGTTCTTGTTTATTGTAAACGTCTAACTTCTTTTTCTGACTGACCAGATGAGTCCACATACGTACAGTTTTCCAGTGGTGGATGAAGTACCCTACCTGAAAGCCACACTTTAGTAAAAGCAGATATCTTACCAGAAAATGACTTTGGTAGAAGTTGAAGTCGCCATTTAGAATATTACTTCAGTAAAAGTTGTAAAGTATGTGATATTTATTGTAGCCTACTTAAGTATGAAATGTAAACTTAAGTATTGAAAGTACATGTAAACGCAAAATGGAAAAGAAGCAAATAAACATATATATAAAAAAATGTTTATACACAGATTTAGCAGCAAACTGTTTAGTTTTAACTCTTTCTTCCATTTTGTTTCTTTGGGTAATCATAAGAGGCACTTCAGCCGGTAATTCAAAAAAAAAAAAGAAAAAAAATTCTGGATTCTGCATCTGAAGTGGCATTTAGATGTATTAACACAGTTGAATTTACTGTAGCTCAGATGGGACATGGATGCATTTAACCTGCAGTTACTAATGCATAAGTAGGCCTAATATTTTTTAAAAACAAAACGTTGAAAGCCAGGCAATTTGAAATGATTTAAAACATGAAAAAAAAAAATAGTTGAAATGTGAAATTAACACCGCCAGATGGCAGCAAGTCACTGTTAATGAGGGAGACATTGAGATTCAACCGATTCATTCAAACGGCTGATTCATTCAGGAACAAAGCATTTCACTGAATCATTCATTCAACCAATTCGTTCAAAAAGCTGATTAAGCTGAATAAGGAAACACATTATATGTCCTGTGTGTTGCTCAAAGACATAAAACAGTGCTGTGATCTTTGTTTGGAACTGTTTTTGTTGACAATATTGAGAAACAACAGGCAATATTGTGTCTAAAATGTAAGTTACTTGAACTTACTTAATGCTAACTTTAAACTTGTATAAAATCAATATTACATTTGTTATCATGCTAATATCTGGAGAAAAAAAATGACACTCTTCATGGATAGAGATTAACTAAATTATGTAAATATAAAAGGCAAACAGAGGCATTTTTTGCCACCCGTAATTTAGAATGCCTTGAATTTTGATCATTCTAAATGCGTCGGGGAAATGTATCAGAGTATAAGTATACATTTAATTAACGAAGCATTATTACATCGTTACATTACACAATGCTGTTTTCATTATTTTGGTCAAATATTAAAGAAAAGTAACAGAAAAGGCAGTGCATTGAGAAAAAAAGTACATTACGAATAGTTGCCTCACACACATACACAATAATGTAAGAACAGAATTTCCTGGGAAAAAAAAGTATTAATGTTTATTACAGTGACTTGGGACAAGAAACAAAAAGCAGCAGCTTTGCATAACACAATTAAGGCACCATAACACAACCACCACAAGTCACCTTTCATGAAGCTGAAACTTATCAGGCTTTTTTTCCAGTATGGATTTGTTGCTTTCATTTTAAGTAGCTTGCTCTGGTCATAGGTTTCACATGGATATGAAATCTCTTGTGCAATCTCAAATTACAGAGCCATTCAAATTTCTTCCCACACAAATAGTCTCTTGTCTGCATGACTTTTCAGGTGTATCTTTAAGTGTGATGACAAAAGTAATTTTTTATTACATTGATCACAATTAAACGGCCTTAGTCCAGAGTGAATGCGGACATGGTTTTTAAAATTGCTCTTTTTTTGTAAACTTCTTGCCACATTCAGAACACTGCAATTTCTCTCAAGAATGAGTTTGCAAATGACTTTTCAGCTGTCCTTGATAAACGAAACTCTCCTCACAGTGAAGACACGTGTACGGCTTCTCTCCAGTGTGAAGCCTCACGTGAGTCTTAAGGCTTCCTTTAAGTGTGTAACTCTTTCCACACTGAGAGCAGGAGAAAGGCCTCTCTTTGGTGTGAGTATTTTCATGCATTTTCAGTAGTTTTTTGTCTGTGAAACTCATTCCACATTGACGGCATTTTAAACTGTTCTCTCTCATGTGAATCCTCATGTGATCATTAAGGTGTCCTTTGTGTATGAAACCCTTTCCACATTGAGGGCAGGTGAAACGTCTTTCTCCAGTGTGAAGTTTCATGTGGTAATTCAGAGATTCTTCATGTTTTAAACACTTTCCACACTGATGGCACTTAAAAAGCTTCTCCTCAGTATGAGATATCATGTGTCTCTTGAGGACCTTATTTATTTGGAACCCCTTTCCACATTGCTGGCACTTGAAGGGCTTCTCTCCAGAGTGAATTATCACATGCTTGTTAAGGTCTTCTAAAGACATGAAACTTTTTCCACACTGATGACATATAAAGCAGTCCTCTCTTGAGTGAATTCTTACGTGTAAATTAAAGGTGTCTTTACGTATGAAATTCTTTCCACACTGATCACATGTGAAAGGATTCTCTCCGGTGTGAATCCTCATGTGATCCTTTAAGGTCTTGCTTCGAGTGTAACTCTTTCCACACTGATCACATGTGAAAGGATTCTCTCCATTGTGAATTCGCATGTGGACTTTAAGGCTTCCTGCAGAACCGAAAACGCTTCCACACTGATGGCAGGTGAAATAACTTTCAGAATCTGTCTCCTGCACTAGTTTTTGTGACTTTTCAGTCTGCAAGCCAAGTTTTTCACCAGTTATGAAATCATGTTTCTCATACTGCTCTTTCTCCTCCATTTCATTTAGTTCTTGAATCTCCTCTTTAAGCGGCATTAGGTCTAAAGTGAAAAAAGCAAACCCCAGTTCAATGACACAAAACAACAGAAATCAAGGATTCTATTTGCAATGCGTGTTAGAAGTGTTTAACATTGTAGCCATAGACATTTATAACCAAAAAGTATTAAAGACATTGTAAATAAGAGATACGTTATGTCATCCAGACAGATTTTTGATTATAACATGAGTTTGCTTTTGCAAAAGTACCCAGTCAGTGAGCTTGCGTTGACATGAATTGACTGACAGATTTTGTCGCTTTCGATATATAACCCATTCACAATTTGAAGTTATTTTTCATGCTGCCAAGTACACACTGCAAAGTTTTGGGAGTGACAACCATACTTAAGTTTGGATTTAATTGGAATTGCAATGAGTAAGGTAACAGCTGAAGAAACAGATGGGACAAAAAATAGAAATGTGCATTAAGTCTAAAATGAGTGTGAATGCAGACTAACAGACTTTCCACAAAAATTTTGTGTTATTTTGTTTTTTAACCCAAATGCTGCATTCAGCTAGTTGGGTCAATTTATTGGGTTATATTTTAAATATTTTTACCCAGGTGCTGAGTCTGTAACTCCGCTGCGGAGTCATTTTTTACTGTCAGTACCAATGATGAACCCCCTCGGTCGCCGTGATTTTGCCAAGTAAGACATGTTCCTGGATCAACATCTTTTGTTGATCCTGGATCAACATTACTGTCCAAAAATACAGACTTAACCCAATCCCTACCCCTAAACCTAACCTTACCCATAATTTATTCCTAAAATCTGAGGGAAATTATAGCTTATTAACAAGGGTGTAGAAGCACCTAATCCTGATTGTAAGCCTAAAACTGACATTTCCTGAAAAGTTATCTCTCAAATCTGATTGGTTGATTGGAATGATGTTTCAGGATCAACAAGGGTGTTGATCCAGGAACATGTTGTACTTGGTGAAATCACGCTCACCGAACCCCCTCGCATACCCCTTCACACCCCCTCCACCATGGAAGTTTCACCTCCCACCAAACGAATGTACAAACAGGGCTGAAACACAATGCCACATTGTTGTTATATGTAGCAGTTTCTTTGCACTCCAATGACTACAATTGGAGAGCTATTAATCTAGCGAACTAGCAACACAGCTGTGATCACGCTATGTGTTTGGCGCGTTCAAACTGAAACTTAAATGTCTGACAGATGAGATGGCACGAGCAAAGGTGAAGCTAACTTTTCAATCATAAATATATGTTTGTAATTTAATGAATTGGAACAGCTTATGATACCAGTTTTCTTCCCACAGATTCCCATTGACTGCTGTTGCTGCGCCTGTCACATCCTAAAATATTTACTGAATGTTTTTGAGTATTTTATGATTGTAAAAGACTGACTTGCCAATGAATAGAAAACATTGTCTTATTTATATAACAGAGATTTTAGAGTGCATTTTTATTATTTAAAATGACCCAGCACTATGTAAAAAAAAACTATACCAAAAAAGGGTTTTTAATGTATAAAAACCAATAAGCTAGGTCAAAATAACCCAGCATGTACTCGGTCCAATATTTACTCAGTGCTGATTTGGCAAATAACCCAGCATTTTTTAGAGCACACTTATTCTATTACATATCATTCTTTGTTCTACTTATTGACTTTTCACTTGATCTTCATGCTTACTTAATTTAAAAATAATTGAAGGCTACATGCTAATGTTTTAATGTATCATTTACTTAAATTAGCATCAAAAATACTCATTTATTTTTTATCTTCAAAATGTTAAAATAATACAACAGTGTAAGAGTTCCGATAGTTTTTGTTTTATACTGAAACTATTACTGAGAACAGTGACATTTTACTGGTATTGGTAACAACTACTTAAATTTGGTATTGTTACAACACAATCTTGTAAAATGACATATCACTTAAAAATCATGAATGTAATCCTGTATTCCACAGTGCCCACGGTGAATGATTATGGCATTATGGCAAAGGTAGGCTATTATTGCACTATTATTTTCGACCATCTTTACATGAATTTACATGACGTTTTGATGTTATGATTTGTGTAAAGAACAACTTATATTTGTGAAAATTAAAAAACAATTTTCATAATTCACATTTGAAAACCAACCTGTTTGTTCCTCAGTATCTTCACGTTTCACTCGAAATGGCTCTGAAATGCTCATGTCTTCACTCTCTTCTTTAATAAACACCATATTAATAACAGATGGCAGCTGATCTCAGTTGTTTCAGCAGCAGTTTTTTCCCCCTGTATTTTTGGACATTATGTCATGTTTAAAATGAGGAAAACAAATAATAAAAAGAAATATGATTCCAGACAATTAAATTGCAGACAAATAACACGCATAAAGGAGATACACCATTAGGGTTTATGTAACGCTTAATTCAATTTTTAGACCATATCAATACAAATGCAAAAACATGTTATATGTTCCACATAATAAAGAAAATCACACATGTTTGTAACGACGTCAGTTTTGGGTCTAAATGAAAATCGCAATATTAAAAAAAAACGTTTTGGTTTGGTTTTATATTTCATTTTTGCCTTTGTATTATGTCTGAAAACGTAACCGTAAAGCGGCACACGGACAAGCACTTCACATAATTAATTGGTTGATTTCATATTACTTGTAAACTACTATAAATAGATGTAAACACCTTAAATACATAAAAGTTCAAAACACAAACCTCTGTTGAGCCAGATGAGAGCGGCGCTGCCTTATGACGTCTTAACGCCAGGCCAAAGTAAAAGTCCTGTCTACTTACGGTTCTCTTCTTCTTCTTCTTTGGATTTTTTCTGGCGTATTCCGCACCATAGGCACATACCGCCACCAACTGTTTCTATTCATACATGGATGATAGTCCCGCCTCTATTCATATTTTATTTATTTATTTATTTATTTATTTTTAATTTTTTTAATTGTTAATTTTATTTCGGGTTCACCCAAGCTGTATTTCTGGCTGCTGCGTGTTCAGCTCCCATGCCAAAAAACCAAGCTTGTGTGCTCCCCTATTCCTTTGCTTTATTTTTTTTTATTTATTTATTTATTTATTTATTTATTTATTTAACTATCAAATTCGTTTATTTAATCCTGTTTCTACTATATATTCCATTACTATTCTTTGATTAATACCTTCTCTTAATCCTTTTCCTAATATCCAATTTATCTTCTTTTTTTCTTTATTATTACCTTTTAAGTTCTTTATAATTTTAATTCTCTCTATATTTACGACATTTTAATATTACATGTTCAACGGTTTCTATTACCCCACAAAAAGCACATTTACCTGTAATATGTTTACCTCTCACGGTTCTCTATTGGAAGGCTGTTTTTTATATATATTAATTTCTTTAAGCATATATAAGATATGCTTACATAAGACGAGATTTAAACATGCACAGGACAACCGTAATTAATCAGACATTTACAGAAAATTACATAATTGTGCAGTGTTTCCTCGCACATAAAAAATATTTATGATATGGTTATTTTTTAAACTATAGTCCCTTTACTGTTCTTCTGTGTCATTTTAACAATAAAATGTGTGCCAGTTTTTTTTTTTTTTTTTTTTGTGGAGGAAGTAAAATAACTACATTGGCAGACTTTACAGTAGGAACAACAATTAAGTAAACAGAATGGAATAAATAAAATAAAATATCTGACTATTTATATGATAAATAAGATATAATATATATATATATATCACTATTTATAAAATATATGAAAATATGACTAAAAAAATGGAAAGATCTGAAAACTGTATAACACATTGTGCAAATTCTGTGTAAAAGATGGACCAATATGTCAAACATACAGTTCTTGAAACATCAATTAAGAAATTGTTATTCTAGTGACACTCTTAACTTAATTAAATTCTTAATTGATTTAATTAATTAAAAGTTTGAAAATATGCAGCTTTGTCATTTCAGCAGAACCAGTGGGGCTCGGGGATCTTTGAACCACTGCAATAGTGAAACAGCTGACAGGAAAAATGTCCTGTCATTCAATGTTTTCACTCTCTACGATTTTAATTACATATACATCTTTCAAAGTGCAATGCCAACAAATTTTACAATTTTCTAAAATATTTTCTGCATGTATATTACAAAATAGCAGGATAATTAAAAAAAACACTTAAGCAAAACATGGTCAGGTCAAAGGGTCAGAATAATTTTTGGTCCCAATTTTTTAAAATAAATTTTACTGGTAGTCCACTGTATGAAGAATTTTTGGGTATAATATGTCACAGTTTACTTTATTTTGCTATACTCACTTACATAAATTAACTATAGTGTCCTGCACCCACTAGTAAAACATATAAAAAATTATATCTGGTGTCTGAATAATTTTTGGTTTGACTGTGGATTAATTCTTGTTTAAACTACAAAGAAATTCAGTCAAGAGCAGTGAATGATTTTCTTTCTTTCATTTTCTTGGATTAACATTAAGGACACCGACAGCAGCTATAGGCGGAGTCACTTTAACTGCTACGGAAGACCAATGGTTAATTTGAATAAAACTCAAGCAGTCAGAATAATTAAATTTCACCATATAAAAAATGAGGTTGTTACAATTTTTACAGATGTTACTGTTTTTGATAATGCACATACATGTACATACCGGTACTCAAGCTACTGTCGATATCGACTGATAATTGAAAATATTTATTGTGATAATTTTTTTTTGCCATGTCACTCAGCCTTATCTAGGCTATATATCACTCACTAGAACATGCAGACTAAGAAATTATTTTTTTTCTATTAAGAAATGTATTTTGTTAAGGGAAAATGACGGGAAAAGTTTAAAGAATTTAAAAACGTGAAGTGTTTGTCATGTTCTAAGTCTAAACCACAATTATGGTCTGGGTTTCATTGACTTTTTGTGGAGCGCGTGGAATCCGCTCCTTAGAGGGGGGGTAATGTCACAGTGTCTTGTTGGTGTGCCCATGTATAGCCACCAGAGGGCACTCTTCGTAGTTTTTGTTTGTTTCTTCTGGACTTCAGTTCCCATCACCCTTTGCCTGGACTATCAAGTCTCATTACATTCAGCTGTGTCTCATTTACCTGTTTGTTTTTGGACTCTTCAATAAATGCTACAATTGGATCTTCTTGTTTAGGAGCATTCCGTGACATTCAGATTATTTTTCTTACCCCATGGTGGATAATTTTACTTGTTATAAAGGGGTCATATGATGCGATTTCAATTTTTCCTTTCTCTTTGGAGTGTTACAAGCTCTTGGTGCATAAAGAAGATCTGTAAAGTTGCAAAGACTAAAGTCTCAAATCCAAAGAGATATTCGAATGCCACGTTTAAAATGTGTTTTCATGTTTTTGAATCATCGCTCCGGCCGGACAGTGCATCATCACAGTATGGTAGGGACGTAACATTTCTGTCACACGCTTGAGGTATTCGGCCAATCATAACGCACTGGATAGCTGGCCAATCACAGCACACCTTGCTTTTCACACCGATGAGCTTTGTAAAAATCTACGCGTTTCAGAAAGGAGGGGCATAGAGGAAAAACAATAATGTACAATATGTGGAAAATAATGTGTTTTTTGAACCTTAAACCACATAAACACATTTCATTACACCAAATACACAAAATAATGTTATTTTTAGTAAATTTCCTCCCAGGAAACAAGAATAAACATCTTATATTATTTTTCTTATATAGAAAATGCATCGTGATTTAAGAATTTTTTGATATTTGTACTTGAAATAAGACAGAAATACTCGGTAAGAAAAGCATTTTTGCAGCGTGAATGAATGACTTAAGTATTTAAACATCGATTACGCTTTAAAAAGGGGGAGGAGACCCAAAGAAAGTCTGGGTTTAACGAAGAAAACCTGGTCCCAACCAGGTTAGGTTCACAGAGCAAGTTACCATGGTAACTGACTGAATATAAGTTACCTCTCTTTCAGAAATGGGCTTGACTTACCCTGCTTTCTCTGGTTTGACAAACCTCCCATTCTGAAACGGAAAACCTAGAGTTTCCCTCATTTCAGGGTTAACATACGCAGTGTTTTCACTTAACCTTCTTTCTGAAACGGGCCCCAGGTGTGTGAGCCAGCATCGTTGTGTTTAACAGTGGGAGTACTAGTTGAGATCGAGGGAATGGACTATAACCCTACCCACACTACCACCACTGAGGGTGAGCTAGCGCTGACCTCTGGACTATTAGACTGTTTGAATGAGGATGAATACTGGCTTCTCCCTTCCCCGCTGATCCTGTCCAGCTCTCCTTCGTCTCCGTTGGTCCCGCCCAGCTGTCCTTCATCAGCCAGCTCCTTATCGCCAGTGTCGGGAAGGTTCCCGCACAGCCTCCCACTCCCTCCTCTGTCTCAGCCAGCCAGTCCATCAGCTCTGTGTCAGCTGACCACTGAAGATGCCTCAGCTCACCCTCAACACACAAAAATCGGTGGGTCGGATGAGCTTTGGGATCTTCAGCTTCCTGCTACGGGGTTGAAGGATCCCCTGTCTCCGCCTCTAGCCTCGGAAGACCCGAACTCCACCTCGGCCCTCCGATCCATCGGCTCCGCCTTGGCTCCTAGCTCCCTCAACTCCACTGTGGCCCGTCATCCCCCAGTCGTCAACCATCCGCCACCTCGGGACTCCGTCCCTCTGGCTCTGTCGGACTCCTCCCTCCCTCCAGCTCCACCTTGGTCCTCTGTCGCTCCGGCTCCGCCACGGTATTCCAGATCCCTGCCTCAGTCTCCTGAGCCGCCAGTTCCGCCTTGACCCTCCGGATCCTCTGCGTCACCCGGGCTCTGCAGCTCTCCGTCTCCATCCTGGACTCCTCTTCCGCCGGCTTTTCTCCGTCAGTCGGCCCCCTGGTGTCGTCAGCCCTATCTCCACCATGGCTCCTCCCACCGTTGACTCCACCGTGGGTCACTATCCTGGCTGGTCTCTGGATCTCTGCAGCTCTCCGTCTCCATCCTGGACTCCTCTTCCGCCGGCTTTTCTCCGTCAGTCGGCCCCCTGGTGTCGTCAGCCCTATCTCCACCATGGCTCCTCCCACCGTTGACTCCACCGTGGGTCACTATCCTGGCTGGTCTCTGGATCTCCACCTGGCTTCTCCTGCTCTGGGCCCCTCCCTGGCTCCTCCCTCCATCTACTCCACCCTGGCCTTATGAACAATGCCCCTTTCCCATTGCCTGCCCCACACCCGCCTCCTGAACCCCCACCCTCCCTGCCTCCTCTGTTGGACTGTTTGTCGGCACAAGGATGTGCCTTTCCGGCAGGGGGGCAATATGTCACAGTTATGTTCTGTTTTGGTTTAGTTTTCCATGTGTTTCTGTCTCCTGATTCAGTTCCTCATTATTTTCCATGGTTTATGATTAAATACGCCACACCTGTTTTAGCTCTCCCTGATTACTTCTCCCCTGTTCGGTTGTCTGCTATTATTTGTGCTTATGTGATCGTGGATTTTCCTGTGGATTATTATTAAATATTACTTTGTACTCTACTCCTTCGTCGTGCTCTTACTTCTACAGCCACTGCGTGACAGCTATGTAGTTCTTTAGAGCAAAGAGTTTAATATCTGGGCTCAGATGAAGCATTCATGCAGCTATGGGTGCACACACCAGCAGGACTGTCATTACAACTGAAAATATTATCCCAGTTCCGCAGTGAAGACGTCCTCTAGAGCTTATTTAATGGGCCAAAGGGAGCCATACAATGTTTGTTCCAATCCTGAATTTTAAAGACAGGCCTGCAGTGCCAGCATGCTGGTAGAAAATTAAATGAAAAAGAGCTGAGAAA